GTCACCGCCCCGACATGACCGTTCCTTGTGTTTTTGGCATGTTACGGCCATAAAACTAGAATTCCGCCCGATTTTCATATTTTCGTGTGCTATAGCCCACGCCTTCCTCCGTGGGCCAAGGCCCCCGGGCTCGGATCTCCTTAAATATTTTCGGGGCATCAAATACGACCCAAGGAACCATAGTCACCGCCACGCAATGACCGTTCCTCGTATTTTGGCTCTTTACGGCCAAAAAACTGGAATTCCGCCCAATTCCCATATTTTCGTGTGTTATAGCCCATGTCTTCCGCCGTGGGCCCGGGCCCTTGGGCCCGGATCGCCTTAAATTATTTTGGGAAATCAAATACGACCCAAGGAACCTTAGTCACCGCCACGCCACGACCGTTCCTCGTTTTTTGGTATTTTACGGCAATAAAACTTGAATTCCGCCTTATTCCCATATTTTCGTGTGTTATAGCCACGCCTTCCGCCGTGGGCCCTGCCCCCAGTCCTGGATAGCCTAAATCCAGGACATCAAGTATGATCCAAGGAACCATAATTACCCCCTCACCCCCACCCCGCCGTGATCGTTCCTCGTATTTTGGGGTTTTATGGCCATAAAACTGGAATTCTGCCCGATTCCCTTATTTTTTTGTGCTATAGCCCATGCATTCCACCATGGACCCGGGCCCCCGAACTCGAATTGCCTAAAAAAATTTCGGGACATCAAATACGACCCAAGGAACCATAGTTACCGCTCCGCCATGACCGTTCCTCGTTTTTTGGCATTTTATAGCCATAAAACTGCAATTCCGCCTAATTCTCATATTTTCGTGTGCTTTAGCCCAAGCCATCTGCATAGATTCGGGTGCTCTAGCCTGATTCGCCTACAATTTTGCTGGCCCATTCAAAATGACCTAAGGAACATTAGTCAGTTCCTCGCCATGACCGTTCACTGTTTTTGGTAATTTAGGGCCATAAAATTAGAATTCCACCTGATTTCTTTATTTTTGTGTGATATAACCCACGCCATCTGCATCGGTCGGACCAACCGGAGCCGAATTGCCTAAAAAAATTTCAGCCAATCAAAAACTACCTGAGTAACATTAGTCATCGCCTCGCTATGGTTGATCCTTATTTTTTGGCGTTTTAAGGCCATAAAGTTGGAATTCTGCCTGATTCCTAGATTTACGTGTGATATACCCCACGTCATATACATGGGTCTGGGCGGCTGTACTAGAATCGTCTAATATTTTGTCGGCTCATCAAAAATAACTTAAGGAACATTAGTCATCACCTTGCCATAGTTGTTCCTTATTTTTTAGTGTTTTAGGTCATAAAATTGGAGTTCTGTCTGTTATTCAGATTTTCTTGTGCTATAGTGCATGCCATCTACATGGGTCCGGGCGCCCGGACACAAATCACCTATAATTTTTCCGACCCATCAAAAACGCCTAAGGAACATTAGTCATCGCCTCGCCATAACCGTTCCTCATTTTCTGGCGTTTTAGGGCCCTAAAATAGAATTTCGCTCGATTCTCATATTTTCTTGTGATATAGCCCACGCCATCTGCATGGGTTCGGACACCCGGACTCAAATAGCTCAAATTATGTTTGTTCCATCAAAATGACCTAAGGAACATTAGTCATCGTCTCGTCATGACGTTCCTCATTTTTTGGCGCTTTAGGGCCATTAAATGGGAATTCCGCCTCATTCCCAGATTATCGTGGGCTATAGCCATGCCATCTGCATGGGTCCGGGTGCCACCCGGACCCGAATCGCCTAAAATTTTGACGGCTCATCAAAAACGACTTATGGAACATTAGTCTTCGTCTCGCCATGACCGTTCCTCATTTTATGGCATTTTAGGAAAATAAAACTGGAATTCTTCCTCTTTTCAGATTTTTGTGTGCTATAGCCCATGCCATCTGCATAGGTCCCGGCACCCGGACCTGAATCGCCTAAAAGTTTGCCGGCCTATCAAAAACAACTTATGTAACATTAGTCAATCGTCTCTCCATGACCGTTCCTCATTTTTGGGCCATAAAATCGGAATGTCGTCCGATTCCTTGATTTTCATGTGCTATAGCCCACGCCATCTGCATGGGTCCGGGCGTCCGGATCCCAAATTGCCTAAAATTATGTCAGTCCATGAAAAACGACTTAAGGAACATTAGTCATTGCCTTGCTGCCATGACCATTCCCCATTTTTTGATGTTTTAGGGCCATAAAACTGGAATTCCGCCGGATTCCTAGATTTTCGTGTACACGCCATCTACATGGGTCAGGGCGCTCGAACCCGAATCGCTTAAAATATTGTCGGCCCATCAAAAATGACATAAGGAACATTAGTCATCGCCTCGCCATGATCATTCCTCGTTTTTGCGTTTTAGGCCATAAAACTGGAATTCCGCTCAATACCCAAATATTCGTGTGTTATATACCACGCCACCTGCATTGGTTCGGGCGCCCGGAGCCAAATCGTCTAAAATTTCACCGGCCCATCAAAAACGACCTAAGTAACATTAGTCATTGCCTAGCCATGGAAGTTCATTTTATTGGTATTTTAGGGCCATAAAACTAGAATTCTACCTAATTCCCAGATTTTGTTTGTTATAGCCCACGTCATTTGCATGGGTCCAGTTCGCCGCATCGGATTCGCCTAATATTTTGCAGGCCTGTCAAAAATGACCTAAGGAACATCATCACCTCGCCATGACCGTTCTTCCTTTTTTAGTATTTTAGGGCCAAAAAATGGAGTTTTGCCCAACTCCTAGATTTTCGTGCGCTATAGTTCACGCCATCTGCATGGGTCCGGGTTCTCGAACTCAAATCACCAAAAAATTTCCGACCCATCAAAACTAACCTAAGAAACATTAGTCATTACCTCGCCATGAACATTCCTCATTTTTGGCGTTATAGGGCCATTAAACTGGAATTCCGCCTGAGTCTCATATTTTTGTGTGCTATGCATGGGTCCAGGCGCCCGAACCTGAATCACCTAAAATTTTGTCAGCTCTTCAAAAATGACCTAAGGAACATTTGTCATCGTCTCGCCATGATCGTTCCTCTTTTTTTGTCGTTTTAAGAATATTAACTTGAATTCTGCCCGATTTTTAGATTTTCGTATGCTCCACCTCCACGTCATATGCATGGGTTAGAGCGGCCGGACCCAAGTCGCCTAAAATTTTGCCGGTCCAACAAAATTGACCTAAGGAACATTAGTCATCCCCTTGCCATGATCATTCCTTGTTTTTTGGCGTCTTAGGGCCATAAAACCGGAATTTCGCCCGATATCCAGATTTTCATGTGATATAGCTCACGCCATATGTGCTATAGAACTGGAATTCCTGGCGCCCGAACCTGAATCGCTTAAAATATTGTCGGCCCATCAGAAACGACTTAAGGAACATTAGTCATTGCGTCGCCATGACCATTCCTCATTTTTGCATTTTAGGGCTATAAAATTGAAATTCTACCCGATTTCAAGATTTTCATGTACTATAACCCACGTCATATGCATGGTCCGAGCACCCGGAAGCGAATCACCTAAAATTTTACCGGCCTATCCATAACGACCTATGAAACATTAGTCATCGTCTCGCCATGATCGTTCCTCTTTTTTGGCGTTTTAGAGTCATAAAACTGGTATTCCGCCCGATTCCTAGATTTTCGTGTGCTATAGCCCACGCCATTTGCATGGGTCCGGGTGCCTGGACCAAATCGCCTAAAATTTTGCCGGCTCAACAAAAATGACCTAAGAAATATTAGTCATCGCCTCGTCATACCTGTTCCTCATTTTTTGGCGTTTTAGAGCCATGAAACTGGAATTCTGCGTGATTCCCAGATTTTCTTGTACTATAGCCACGCCAACCGCATGGTACGGGCGCCGGACCCAAATCGCTTAAAACATTGTCGGCCCCTTAAAAATGACCTAAGGAATATTAGTCATCGACTCGCCATGACCATTCCTCATTTGTGGTGTTTTAAGGCCATGAAACTGGTATTCCGCCCGATCCCCAGATTTTTGTGTGTTATAGCCCACGTCATCGGCATGGGTCCGGGCGCCTAGAGCAAAATCGGCCAAAATTTATCGGTACATCAAAAATGACCTAAGGAACATTAGTCATCACCTCGCCATAATTGTTCCATGTTTTTGGGCGTTTTAAGGCCATAAAACTAGAATTTCGCCTGATTCCCATCTGCATGGGTTCGGGTGCCCAGACCCGAATCGCCTAAAATTTGTCCGGCCTTTATTTTTCGTGTTTTAGGGTCATAAAACTAGAATTTCATCCGAGTCCCAGATTTTCGGTGCTATCGCCCGTGCCATCTGCATGGGTACGGGCAGCTGGACCCGAATCGCCTAAAATTTTGTCGGCCCATTAAAAACGGCCCAAGGAACATTAGTCATTGTCTCGTCATGACCGTTCCTCGTTTTTTGGCGTTTTAGGCCATAAAATTGGAATTCCTCCCGATTCCCAGATTTTCGTATGTTATAGCCCATGCCATTGACATGGGTCCGTGCGCCAGAACTCGAATGGTCTAAAATTTTGTCGACCCATCTAAAACAACCTGAGGAACATTAGTCATCGCATCGCCATGATCGTTCTTCATTTTTTGGCATTTTAGGGCTATTATACTAGAATTATGCCCAATTTCTAGATTTTCGTATACAAGAACCCATGCCATCTGCATGCATCCTGACGACCGGACCGAAATTATCTAAAATTTTGACGGACCATCAAAAAAGACCTAAGGAACAATAATCATCGGTTCACCACAACCGTTCCTTATTTTTAGTGTTTTAGGGCCATAAAATAAGAATTTCGCCCTATTTCTAGATTTTCGTGTGCCCACGCAATCTCATGCATTCGGACGACCATACACGAATCGCCTAAAATTGTCATCCCATTAAATACGACGAAGGAACAATAGTTATCTTTTCTACCGCTCCTCGTTTTTTTTGCGTTTTAGGGTCATGAAACAGGAATTCCGCAAAAAATTAAAAAAAAGGCAGCAATTAAGAAATTTCCTCAAAGCACATTTGAACCAGATATAAATATGCACAACTAAATTCTTAATCAATAAGTGACATTTGAGCAGGCGAAAGCACATTTGAACCAGGTATAAATATGCACAACTAAATTCTTAATCAATAGGTGACATTTGAGGAGGCACACTGGAGCTCATCTTCACGAGTCATCCTACATTCTTCACATCTCTGAACCTCTATCGGGCTAAATCTCTGTAGGCATTTGCTTCTCAAAGAATTGCGCTTCACAAGCTTACTCAGTATACATGCCATGGCAACCTTTGCTCCCAAGTTAGAGAGCCCTCTAGACATGCAGACTGCACCACCCAGGAGCATCAGCATATTTGGCACCACGTTCTTTAATGGCTCTTTTGTTTGCTCCCTTGTACTGCATTCATGTGAAACTCCACAGCAATAGTCACTATTTGTGCAGGTTTCTGGATTGATTAAGCTCCTTGTGTGGTTTAAGGCGTCCAATCCAAGTGGAACCTTCATTTGACAAGAGGGGGAAAAGGGTTAGGAAAGGAAAGATCAAAAACCATGTCAAAAAGACAAACATTTAGGGTTAGAAACTGGCACTGCCTTTCGTCCATATTATACGTTATTCTACTGGTAATGAGAAAGATAAGTAGTCCAGGTATGCAATAATAGCAGCACACTGTCCTCGTACCTGCTAATCATTTTTGGTGGAAGGGAGGCCACATTGAAGTAAAAAGGGAAAATTGACTTTGAGAAGCAAGATGCTTCTGTTTCTCTCACTGCCAAGTAAAAAGGGAAAATTGACTTTGAGAAGCAAGATGCTTCTGTTTCTCTCACTGCCAAATTTTTTTTATGTCTATTTTATTTAACTTTCCTTTTCCTAAAAGAATAGTGAAAGTTCCGTTAAGAACTGTAAAAGAAGTATAGCTCTGACCTTTTGAATAAACATCACGGCACTCACATCTGAAGTCAATTGAGAATGATCAAGGGCAGAGTATTGACGAAGTGCATCATCCATTTTACAGATATAGTTCCATATGCCCTTTGCAAAGGCTAGTTTTGCCATTTCAACATTCAGACCAGCATCTTCTTGGTGTACCATTTGGATCTCACAGGCATTCCTACCAGAAACTGAAAGCAACTTCACAAGGAAACAACTCAGTACTGCACCACCTTTGAATCCTAAAAGTACTAGTAAAAGGAATCATTATATTTACGTTTATTCCCATGCCTGATAGAATTATGAATTTTACACCAAGATAATGCACAAATTAATTTTTATTATAAACTAAACGTTCTTATTTTCTTTTTCTTTTTCTTTGGTAAGTAAATTAAACATTATTCTCTTATACATACAATTTAGACTTGACAATGCTAAGGAAAAGGCATGACAAAATCTTTCCTTAGCATGACCACATATCTTGTCAGTGATATGTTTCCTCAGTCATGACTAAACCGCGATATACCTACAACCCAGAAATGTTTTGATTATGCTGCTTCATGTAGTATCACAAGGCCCTGAAAACATATAGCCCTAAGATGAAACAAATAATTGAACATTTAAAAGGGAAAAAGCTCACGTGAAGTCTAAATTCACAGAATGTGTCATGATCCCACCTATGTTTATGCTGTCAAGAGATGCTTAAATCAGTTTTTAATGCAAGAGGAGAAATAATAACATGGAAAAAATCAAAAACCTGCCTTTCTTGATTCTCCAACCAGATCTAAAGAGCCCAACCCTGACATACTTCTTCCTTCTTTGTGCCGACGGATATTCACATTCCTACTAGCAGTAAAATGCCAAAATTTTTTAGCAGACATAATAAATAAACTAAGATATATGTGTAACAGGCAAAATAGAAACAGGAAAAAATATAATGCTGAGTTGCAACACATGAATGATTGAAACATATGTAAATAACCTTATGCAAGAACACCAATCGCTTCTTCCTTTAATCTCTTACTTTTTTGTGCAGTTTCCAGATTCATCAGAAGAATTTTTCAATCTAAGAATTTAGAGGGACTCTTTTGGGAAGGATCGTCTTTCTTAATGAGTTCTCACTGCAATATTTACATGAAATAGCAAGAGAACTGCGTAATTTGGGAGACATAGCACCATCAAGAAAAATATCTAGAGAGAGTTGTGTAGGGGGAGTCAGTTCTACGAGATCTTGATGTCCAACAATGTTGAACTTTATTAAGTACCTTGGTAAAACAGTAGAAGGATCCATCATTGGCTTCCCACACTCTCCAAGCTAATACGTACTCTCTTGGAGTCAATAGTGGAAACTTTTTTATCATGAGTCCAATTTCAGTTCCACTGCTAGTATCCACCTGCAACTGCTTATGCTCAATCAAGGTTTTGTCCCAAACTTTCCGGAAATCATTATCCATGTAAAAATCTCTTAGCATCTCGACAGAGCAATTCTCAAATACAGTTACACTTAGATATTTAAGAGGTGCATCCTGAAGCAGAAAAGAGATAAAAACCGAATATCATTACCTCATTACTGTCACAGATAGAAATAACTTTTTTTCCACAAATCAGACAGCGCTAATATTTAATAAATAAATATAGTTAAAAACAAGTTAATCCAGATATGTTGTATCACTTAACTTAATACAAAGAGCCATTAAACAGAAGGTGAAGCCATTATTGCACAACAGTAGCTACAAGTAGTCATGCATACATAAATGCATCCACTCCCATGCTCAAACAGGCCTGCAAGTGTTGTACTATGTTCATTGACACCATTCAGTCAGTTTAAATCCTTTAGAAGTATTCAGTGGCAGCATTTCCACCATGCGGTACTCCATTTCTTTAAAGAGTTTCAAAGGCACGTAAGTATGTTAACAAAAGGTGAAGGAATTACTTCTGTGATTAATAGTTCACCTAATGGACACTTTTCTGCTGCTTTAAAAGTTTAGTTTACTGATAGTTTCAGCCATTAAGCATAAAGTATGTTTACTACACTGAATTCTGTGAAAGTAGGCAATTCAGCAAGTCCCTAAGAGATAAAAGAAAAACCATAATAGTAAGAAGACAGTAGATAATGAGAATCTGAGCAACCACCTTCTGCTTACAACACCGTGCATAGTAGGAAAGACGATCTGTTCTCCGGTTAATGACATCTTCCCATTTCTCGTTAGCATGGAATTTCATATTTATGTCGTCAATCAAATTCTTCAGATCTAGTTCAGATATCACTGTAGTGATCCTGAGGAGATACAAGGATGTTAAAAAAGGAAATATTAAATGAGAGATTATGGATTTAGTTTTTGGATATAGTAGAGCTCAGTTGTTTTTCCTTTCTGTTATATACGCTATACCTGCGCTATTTCTTATCTGTTCTAAGAGGATCATATCATTTTCTTGGACATAGTTACCTTCAGCTTCTCACCCTAAGATACCTCCAGAATGTCAACAGAGCATCCAAAGAATACTTTATCTCAAAAAAGACATCCAAAGAATGAACTGCACTAACTTAATGCTTTAATAAGATTAATCGACAAACATCATGCTAAATAAATGCGCATGCACTGATAACTAGTGTCTCATTTATATTTTTTGCTTAGTGAGGTAATTTAACTAGTGTTTCATTTATTGAAAAGCAGAAAAACATGTGGAGAAGAGGTACACAACTCACTAGGAGCCGTACCAATATGTTGCTCTTCAAACGAGCATCTAATGGCTTATACCTCTTCCTCAGAGACTGGGCACCAAAAATAAAAATAAAATTAAAATGTTAAATATTTAGTTGAAAGGTATCTTTATTTCATCAAAAAACCATATATTTGTCTCCCGCAATTGTCTGCTTCACAGCATGTGGGATGAATTTCCCAGACTTGTACCTCTTCCTCAAACCTTTTCCTCTCTAACTCCACATCACTTCCTTAACTATCCTCGTCATGATCTACGCAATTTCTAAGATCGGGCTTGAAGTCCCATAATTTAGATACTTTTTTTTTTTGATGAAGTGTCCCATAGTTTAGATACTATTTTGCAATGTAGCAACAAGAATTGTGTCTTCCCCAGTCTCTTTACAAAGAAAACGCCAATAAATGTCTCGCATTCTCCTTAGACTATAATTTACAGTGCAAGAATTTTTAGTCTAAGGTGAATTCCCAAAACCACTATTTTTAGCAAGTTTATCGGTTCGCAACCCAACTTAAATTTTTCATGGAATAGGTGTCATAGCAAGTACTGATAAAAGAAAAGGTGTCATAGCAAGTAGCCATCAGGATATACAAGGGTGCCATGCACCTTCATTAATCCACTAAAAATTAAAATCAAGCAATTGAGTAGCAAAAAGGGCCGTTTTGCAACCAATCTCTATTTATGGTACTAATGAGCTGAGAAACTAGTGAATCCTGGTACTAGTAAGGTACGTGAAAACTACGCCTAATAGTTACACCAATACAACAACAATAACAACAAAAACCCAAATAACGTTGAAATTTCATCAGAAAAATGATACAGTTAAACGCTATTGCATCTTTCTCTTTCGAAACAACAATAAAAAGAAATTCATTATTTTTTTCTTACGATTGAGCATAAACTTACAATCAAAACAATATGAAAGGAAGAAGAAGATACCGGACATCAGAAAGAGCAGAAGAGGGAGAGACATCAGGATAACTGTTGGATTCGGCATGTGGACGCGCAGAAGGTTGTTCTCTAAATTGGAAGGCGGGTACGGGAAATCGAAGACGAGAGTTTAGCAAATGACATATCAGTATGATCACTATAACAGCTAGGGTATAACCGCAGTTATACGAAGTCAGCGTCCATCCGTTTCCTCCTCCATCAATCTTTTCTCTCCAAAATTTTGATACTACTGGTGAGAACCAAATCGCAATCGCAGCGCACATTCTCTAAAGTCTAAATGGAACTGGTCAGCCTAGTAATTCCCGTCCTCCGCAGACCTACCAATTTCTATAGCATCGCTCTCCGGCAACTTCCCTTCTATCTCTAGCGGTATAGCAGTTTCCCGTAATAATAAATAATAAATAATAAATGAAATTAATAGGAGTAAATAAAAGAAAAAGTTTGGCCCCTACAAATTGGATAAACCCATCTGCAGGGCAATGTTTTGGGGGGAAATTACGAAAATGGTCCTCAATATATTAAGGTGATTTAATTCAGTCCTTTACGTGTCACTCTTAACAGAAATAGCCCTTATGTACGTAAAAGGCAGTTGCATTTGATCCTAACTCGTAAAACCAACAGATTTTTTTAGAATTTCCTGTAAAATTAACACTTTGGCCACGTGCACCTCACATGGATTTGGAAAACAAGGGAGTAATATTTCTTCCGGTTAATTTTACAGGAAAGATTTTATTTCCTCCGCGGACCTACCAATTCGGGGATTCGATATTCCCGAATCCCGACTTATGACTAAGAAAGATTTTATCTCATCTCTATCGCTTTCTCAATAGCTAGTAGCGAGATTTGCATTTATGAGATTTTCACTATCCTATCAAAAAGAAAGGCGGCATCGGAGCATTAGAAGACCATAAAAACCATATAAACATGGCCAAATATATCGACCATCTCTTAAATATGTTTCACTTTCACTTAAACATTTCATCTTATCTCCATTTGAACACTTTATCCACGCTTTTATTGTGTCATTTAGACACAAAATATCTCCATTTGAACACTTTATCCATGCTTTTATTGTGTCATTTAGACACAAAATATCTCCATTTGAACACTTTATCCACGCTTTTATTGTGTCATTTAGACACAAAAGCCTGACATGGCAAGATAAGTGTTTCTCACATTTTTATGCACGTGAAATGATTGGAAAAACATATTCCTCATACTTCTTGCCGGAAAATAAATAATTTTGGCAATTCAAAAGTATGCAGAGATTAAAAAAAGGTGCATTGTCCATATCAGCTCCTGTTTCAAGGCCATTGAGCTTCATGATATCAACGATTCAGCCTCAAATGGGTTCCAAATTCAATCCTCCATCAAAATAAAACAATACCCACTTAGTAAATATTTAAAAAACATAGATCTGAATTGGCCCAACTCCTTCGACGGTTGACAATGGTGCTTCAATTCTAACCAGTTTAATATTCAATCAAAACCTACCAAACTGCACGGGCACGTTCATTTAAACCCCAATATTCATTTAACCAAAACATCAACAAATCGAGGGTTTCAAATTGTGATTCCTAATTTCAAGTTCTTCCAATTTTTAATGGTAAATCTCCAGATTGAGTCACGATTTCGCCATCACTTTTATCGGTGTACTGTCATCACTTTCGATGGAACGGCGGCGGCAACCACTTTTATTGGGCCAAGCTTCGTCATCACGAGGTGGGGTTCGGAAGGGGCACGGTTCGTAGAGGTTGCCGGTGGAACAATCGCGGCATGTGGGCTGTTTGTTGTTGTTGCCCATGTGGGCTCGATGAACCTCCTTGTGCTAACTGGGTATAATTTGTCAGCGGTACCTCGCCAGAAATGCCGACGTCGGCTGGTGTCGTGTGAAGAACGGAGCTTTCTTGTAATTCTTTTGAAGTTTCTTTTTCATTTATTTAAGTTAAATTAAATCCACGTCTTCCCGTTTTATTTGTCACTTTGACGTGTGAATTACAGCATATTTTATGTTTGGTTGCCTATCAATTTGTATGTTTAAATGACACAGTAAAAGCCTGGATAAAGTGTAATATACTTAAAATAAAGTGTTTAAGTGAAAAGTGAAGAAAACTTTAAGGGTCCTAAATGTATTTGGCCTATAAGCATCTACTTCATCTATTCAACTCTCTCATATATCTTTCAAACCTTTCAATCACCCTCGCTAACTTCTGAGTTCCTCCTCTTACTCTTCTCGATTGCTCCTATTTTCTTCCCTAATTTACATCCTCCTTAACATCAATTGTCATTACATCAACAATCACCGTCGAATAATCTCTCCTGAAGTACGCATCATCCATAGATAGTGACAGTTATTTCTGAGACAAAATCATTGGCACTACTACAATCGAACAAAGGATAAATGAGAAAAATTAGAGAGGTTTTCTCAAAGATAAAGAAAGGTCATAGGGTTCGGAGTGGTCACCGGATAAGTTTCAGACATCTAATCTTGTATAGAAAAAAAGAAGAAGAAAAGATTAGGGACGGAGAGGGAAGAAGGAACAACATGTGATTAGAGGAAGAAGAAGAAGAAAATGGGTAAAGGGAAGTTTTACATTTGGTTTTCAACAAATTAGAGGGTCTTTTTTATTAAAAAATAGTACTATATAGGCCAAAATCTACACTAAGGGAATTTAGCGTAAAGCGGCATTAAGGAAAAAGGTGCGGTCGAGGTCGAGCAGGAAGCAATGGGATTCGTGGTCGGGATGTCAACAATGGTCGAGGTTGAGTATCAAGGGCAGAACAGTAACGACTAGTTTTTGTAATAAGATAGTAAAGAAAATATCTATTGAATATTCTCTGCCCTTGTACGATTAGGGTTTGTTAGAAATATGCCTCATATAAATAGAAAGAGAGACAATAGTGTAGGGCAGGTAACACTGACTTGTTAAGAACACTTTTCAGAAGAAGATTCTTTCTCTCTAGAAAAGATACAAACTTTACCTTTTGCAATATTCTTGCACACATTATCCCACATATCTCCATATGATGATAGGCTATAATTACGTATTTTAGTCGCTTATCGCACTCTAATGTATTACACTTTAATTAAGTTTGAGCTTTAATCGCTAGTGTTTTGCACTAATTGCATGTTTTATGCCTTATAGGAGTGATTCCGATCTATCTAGAATGTTATGAAATGAATTCAAGCTATTTTGGAGCTTTGAAGTCTCAGTAAAATCCCAAGGATTAAGTTGGGATTGTGTTCAGGGATCAACGGATGATAGCGCACTTTAAGAACGAAACGAAGAATCGAGCAGTCATATTGTGCATTGTTCAGTAAAATGCACATAACTTTTCACTCAGAAATCAGTTTGGGCTCCACAATATATCGTTGGAAAGATATTTAAAAGGGCTACAACTTTGATGTTTTATACTTTTTCAAATTTCCATAGTCGCGTTGCGTGGGGCGCCACGACTATGTAAATTATTGCTGCCCTCAAATTGCATGCTCTCTGAAGTTCCCAACAAGCACACCGCGTGGCGCGTCTCCCCATGCGGCACGCCTGTGCAAATTTTACAAAAACAGAATCCTATTTCGCACAGGAAAAGGTATTTCGTCTGGGCCCGACCCTACTTGGTATTAATACATGTAAAAACGCTATTTTGAGGACTTTTAACACACTTTAGACCAAGGGAGAAGACGTTTGGAGCATTCTTTGGAGGAGAAAATCATCGAGTTCTTCATTCCTTCATCTTTTCTTTGTAATTTTTGTATGCAAAATACTTGGAAAATTATTGCTACGAAAATGAGTAGCTAAGCACTCTAGTTTCTACGAGTGTGATTATTGAACTTAATAGGATTGATAAACCAATTACAACTCTGAAATCTTCATCTCCTCTGAACTAAAGTCTCATCATACCCATTTGCAGTCTTGTTGATTTAGTTGTTACTTGTTTAATTTCCACAATAGTAGATTAATAGAAAAACATACCTCTTGATTATCTTGGGCTTAACGATCAATCTAAGTCTCTGTGGGTTCGACATTCGACTTTCGAGTCACTTTATTACTTGACGGCCACGTATACTTGTGTGTGTGTTTGGCCCCAACACGTTTTTTGCGCTGTTGCCTGGGACTTAGTTATTGATTAATTATCTAAGTTAAACTTTTAATTGATTTCTGTTCAAGTTTTTAATTTTTCTATTTAGTTATTTTTCTATATTAGACTGTTACTCTTATCTTTATAGATTTTGTTTATTTTTTCTTTTTTAAATATTTTTATTTTTATAATAATTTAATTTTTCTCTTAGTGTGTTTCTAGTTCTCTCAACATGACATCTGGAGATGAAATATTCGGAGGTAAGGTTATTGATGAAGACGCTTGGTTGCTGAAGATTTTTATGGTCCATCTTTTTGGGCTTGTCATGACCTGAACTCTGGGAGGTCTGAATTTGAATATGGGAGTACGGGTTGGTATTGGGACGGATATTCACGATTAAGGGAATATGCGGAACGAAGTTCTCTTTCTAACTAAATTGGTGAATGATTGGTCGAAGGAGAGAGTTGATCTTGCACAAGCAATTGACAAGTTTAGCTTGGCTTGCACAGCTTGGATGCAGATTTGAGTGCGAAGGTTGATGCGTTCAACGGCCAACAATTTAATGATGAGTTGTGTGAAACTGAAAAAAATCTTCTACTCCAAATTGAGGAGCTAAAACGAGAATACCAAGCATTAGACCATATTTTTATTGAGGATGTCCATGTTGAGCAGAGTTTTCTAGAGTCATGTGAGGAAGTAGATAATGTTATATTTGAAGACTCTAGTGTGTGCACATATGAGGATTTAAATAGTAATATAATTCTAGAGTTGGGGCGTGTTGGTCCTCATTCTAAATATTTTGGACATTATGTTTGGATGATGAAATGAAAATCGAGTCATCTGAGCCTTTGGAGGAGTCAATGGAAGAGGAACAGGCTGCTTACATTCTTGGATTTGTCGTGCTAGAGAGAAAAAATTACATTCCTCATATAAAGGCCGAGAAGTATAGAGTGAAAAATGTATTACTTGGCCTATTTATTTTTGTATCCCCACCAAAGGAGCATAGCCACATAGTGGATGCCATATTAGGGGTACAATTCATAAGTTTGAGGTAGAGGCAGAAAGTGGTTCACGTCGTGCCGCGACGTTAAATCTGGCGCTTGTTAGGAGGCAACCCAGTTTTACTGCTTTCTTTTAGTTTTGATTTTTCTTCTTATTGTATTATTTTTGTAGTGTCTATTTTGATTTTTTAGGATTTTGAGCATCGGGAGAAAAGCTATTGGAAGTGTGCAAAAGCGAGCTAGATGGTGAGAACTAAGTATGGGGTGCCCACACAAAGGACCATGCCTAGGGGAAGTCTAAGTACCTTGTGAGCCGCTATTGCGTCATCCT